AATGACTGAAATTACTAGACACGATAAAGTTAGTGAACAGTGCTAATAACCTAAGCCGTTAATCTATGTAAAACGTCAGGAATTATATTATAATTAATTTTAAATGGGATATAGAGAAATGAAGCTTAGAGCATAATATAAACTTTATATATCTCAAATATATACAGGTTTCTAATTAAAACAAATGACATCATTCAGTCTTTCTCTTTACATTATAGTTTATTCATTATTTTTAATATCAATGTCTAACGGATATTTACCATGAGTTTCATCATTGCAATTAGTAATTTAGCTATTAAAAAAATGAATATTTGCAATTAAGCATTTAAATAACGTAATTTGATCACGAACAAAATGGCCAATTAACTATTTTGATTGTCGTTATGTTACATTATCAAACAACATTATAATTTGAAATGTATATATATATGTAATATATACTAAATTATTAGTGAGATCATTGGATAGGAAATGTTTAAAACATGACAAGTCCATTTATTGAGAGAAATTACAAATTATTTACGTAATATATAAACATAACCTTTAATAATCAATTTACATCTTCCACTGTATTCTGCAATCTGGACTGTCTTCTCGATTGGCTTCCCTTCTTTCAATGCAATGAAACTCTTCTCTCTGTCTGACAACTGTTGCAACTCCGACACCATGTTCCACTACGCACCGCTTACAAACATCCTTGTGAGTAGCGTTATCTACAAATATCCTTCTTCATTTTGGATTCTTTATTGCATTGAAATAACGTATGATCTATTCTACAAATACCTATGAACGATACCTATGAACCACCAATGATAACAGATTCATTTAGTCATCACTTTTGAAGTCGTGAATTTTTTAATAGTACACCATCTCTATGTAAAAAAAAGCTAAAATGACTACCAAGTTAATTAGATTCCATAACCTTCCTTAATCCATTATAACCAAGTTTCTCTAGAAGAACCGTATGATTAGAGAAAGTTCTACTGATTGTAGTAGTTTTAGCTTCTCAAACACATGTTAGTATTTGAATGTTATTTGTATCCTAACAATCGAATCTGACGATTAGCTCTTGTTAGTTTATTCATCAAATTTTCAAACAAATAGAACCATCTTCGATGTCACCTAAGTATTTTTATTAAAACATAATTATAAATAACTCTAAATAAGAATTATTTCTAATTCTATTCCAACTCATTCACTACGGATAATTAATTTCATTATTATAATTATCATAAGGGGTTTTGTGAAGATTTAGTATTTTCATAGTTGAAAGCGTGAGTCAATTGAAGCTATTACAGTTCCTTTTAACGGATAGATTTTAGGCGACTTCATATATACCAGCTACAGATCCATTATCTTTTAATAACCCTTAAATATATCCCTTTTTTTGTTTGTTTGCTTTTTTACAAATGATCGAATAAGTAAATGTTTTCTTTTTAGTAGTATAGAAAAAAAACATCATTTTAGTACTTACATGAAACATCATTCTATTTTAAATTCACTTAGTATTGTTTGTTTGAATCTTCCCATTGATGTTTTAGACTGCAACTGGTCAGTCTCTAATTGGCATATGTGCATACTGTGAGTAATGCCTCGATATAGCCTTATTTCACAAGCATTGTAAGCAAAGATGGATTCTACTTTGTTTACTATACATTGTATTTGTGATGATTGAAAATAGTATATAAAAAAATATTAATTTATATTTAAATTTTTGTTACAATAAACTGAAATGAATGAATTAAAGCAACAAAAATTGTCTACAAATTTCTACCAATGAACAATACTCTAATAATTTATCACCATGATTACCGACACAAATTATATGGATACATGAAAACAATTTTTTTTGGGGGGGGGGTAGATGAAAAATAGAAAAAAAGAAGAAAAGAATTCTGTCATTTGTCAGGAAAATAAATTTCTAGTTTACTGAAATTAAAGTTTTTTTTAAAAAAGTTGCTTCAATATAACTAATTTATTAATATAATTAATCAAATTTGTTTCTTTGAAACAATGGGAAATATATGAGTAAAAAAACAACTTCAGTTTTTAATGGAGTTTTTTAGTAAATATCTTTGGAATTAAATTGAAGTTAGATATTAACACCGTTGGATGCCGGCTCAATGATGTAGAGGTTAGGAGTTAGCGCGCGTGATTGAAGGTTCTAGGTTCGCGTTTCACGCATGGGATCGTGGATGCGCACTACTGAACAGTCACATGATAGAACGAAACAGACATCCAAGCCTTTCAGATTTTCATTGGTGGTCTAGTTTGGATCGACTTATGAATTCAACGGTTAAATTAGAATGATTGTTACATAATAACGAAAATTAATTAATCTAGAAAGGAAAATATTCATGAAATTAATTAAATGTATAGTTCTTTAAAATTACTTTATTTCTCATATTTAAGGAATTTGGGATTCGTTTTATGAACTTGTCGACATTCATGTGTATTGTTCTTTTATAATGACACTAAGAGACACTGTTTGATTACTTACTAATACAGATAAAGTGATTTTCGCTTGTTGAATGTTGTGTTAATAATGTTCAAATAAATTAGTTGATTATTTAAAATAACTGATCATTAAGAAATGAAAAATATGATATTGTCCAGTCATTCATGGTGATCGAATCTTATCGATCAAGTTACAATGTGATCACTAGTTTTATAAGAGGTCAAGTAGTAACTGTCAACTAACTTGAAATACAGATCCAACGGGTTCTCGCTGATTTCCTCTATCTGACATTATATAGGTATAAAATCACTTTTATCAACTCTATAAATATTGTACAGTTTATAACGCACGGCTATTTTCCAATTTTCTTAATAAAAACTTTTATCCCGTTTTGTCCAATGAAATAATTAGTTTTAAAATGGTAAATATTGGTTACCGATTTCTGACAAGTGATATAAAATGTAGATATAACCCAACTGATCACCTTTTCTTCAAACTATGAACGTAAGTGACTTACAAAGTACTAGCTATATTGTTGCGAACGTTGTTACAGACAACGATAATGTGTTCTTGAGTACGCTGTATCTGGTAGAGTTCCAGTCGCAAAAGTGTTCCCTAACACATGAGCACATATTTTCAAAAACAAGTTAACCAATCACTTATATTTTAATTTCTTTAATCATACCCTGAAAATGTTTACGACTAAGGGTCAGGAATTAAAATAACCCTACAATAAATGTCGACCGTTTACTACTGTCATGTTTACTGACGAGAGAGACAAGTCGAAAAATAAATTTAAATAACCTACTTGATAAAATATCTGATTTGATAATCACAAACATATGTGCCATAGATAAGTTTATAAACACACAAATAGGATGTGTGATCAATACCATTATCATTAACACTTCGATGTTTATTTCACAAGCAACCGATTAGTGAAATTATCTTTAATCTCCCAATATGTTCGATGACAACTTACCAAGTGGGACAAAGCATATGAGAAAGTAACGATAAAATATTATGACAAGGTTTAGTATTAATCCAGATTATCTACTATTCTTCTGAGTACAAAACTTGTTTATTTTCTAGGTTACAAGAGAAATACCAATCTATCAATAGTATAACAATTTGCAAACAACTGAGCATTAGGTCCTCATAGATGAAATACCTAGTGTATAAATCATAAGGTAAAAATATCAGAAGTGTTCATAACTCTTTTTTTAAACTGTTATTACTTTTCATGACTCAAAATACATTTTATCAAACTTCCCTGGTTTGAGTAGACTTAACTGATAGTAAGTCTAGATATAGAGCGAAATAATATGATCAATATATGACTTTCAGTAAAATTCATCAAGCTTGGTTCATTCTCTTCTCGATTAGTTAGTAGGATTTAGCCGATATCTTTTATTTGAGATGGCCAGTAAGTTATACCCTGAACTATTTAGTCTAGTCAGTAGTTTGTTCGGAATGTGTAGGAGTATTTTCAAATGTTTATGATTATAGGATAGAATATCTTTTTGGTTATAACGTATGTAGTATTTGTTGTGTATGACAATTGTTCCAGTTCGTTAAAGTTGTGACAAAATAACAATAATTCTCTAAAATCAAAATACTGATATAAAATGAACTTAGATGAATGTCTGTTGAAAGGAAGTGTCTTGATAACGAAATGTGTCTATTTTCAATAAAAAAGAACATTTATATGTAAACCATGCATCATACAAATAAATATCATCAAAACTCACTTGAGGTATTATACAATTTATATGACATTAAAACTCACTTGGCAATAAAACTACGATTTGAATGTTATGCTAGATTATTATCCATGATATTACTTCAATCTTGATAATCAATCTATCATCAAAATGCATCCTCTCAAAATCCATATGAAATGACATATTTGAATAAAATATTGCTTAAATCTCGAAACGTATTTTCTTGTTGTAAAGTGATTGATTCATTTTGCTAAGACGTGTTTACTTGAACTCATTCAAGATATCTGTTCAATTAACAAAAGTCACGTAAAAATAGGGAAATTATGATAAGAGACACTTGAATAACATAAAGCACATAAAACTCAAAAAAATTTCATGTATATTATCAGTTTAGTTCCATTGTTTTTACATTCCTACTCTGTATTTGTATTAAAGCTTTTTTCTTGCATGAGCATACCTTTCAAGTTTCTTGCATGTGCTAAATGGAAAGTATATAGTATAAGCTCAATAATCTGAATGTTTCAAATAATCAATAAACGAGTTCATATTAGCAAGTATCTAGGTATTCCGAGATATTTTATTCATTGGGTAATCGTTTCCTTATAATACTATTTATTACAAAGATCTTTTGATCCCATTATATTTAAACGATAAGTATATAGCTTAATGATATTGACTTATGTATGATATAAGTATATTGGAAATGAAAGAAACAAGTTTTTCTCTGTTTTATTACATCATCCTCTAGGTAATCCTTTGTTAATAAACATTCAGATTCAAACTAAAACCATTCATTATTGAAAAAAAATTAGAAAAAAATGGTTGGAACATCACAAAGTTCTGGTAAACCCGGTGATTTAATCTGCCTATGTATTGGTGGCCGTTTATTTGTAACTAGAAGAGCTACACTTTATCGATTACCGGACAGTCGACTTTATTTAATTGCTACGCAAGGATCAAGTAATCAAGAGTCGAATATAAATTACACAAATCAATTAAATATAGGCGATGATTTTATCAAATCAATGAATGGTAATAATTCTGAAGTCACTTACAAATATTTATCACAATCACAAACATCTGGTAGATTAGTTGGAAATGGACCAAATGATGGAGCTTTAATCGGTGGAGCATCAATTCTTCCTGATAATATAGCATCAATGGTTGCAGGAAATATGAATTTGCAGTCAGCTTCGTCAATATGCCGAAATCGTGGTTCTGGTTTTACTAATCCAATAGTGAATCCATCTCATGGAATTGATTTATATCAATCATCATCAAATAAATCTGTCCCATTGTTATCACCAACATCAACTAATCAATTTACCCAATTGTCTAATGCACCTATAATGACAACACCTCCAATTGTTTATTTTTATGATCGTGATCCAGAAATATTTCGTTTCGTATTAGATTATTATAGAACTGGAGAATTACACTTACCATCAAGTATATGTGGTCCATTTGTACGTAAAGAGTTAATATTTTGGGGTATTGATGAAGCATTAATTGGTCCTTGTTGTATGCCTGCTTATATGAGATATGATGAGGAGAAACGCACAAAAAATACATTATTTCGTGATTGTTTTGAAGATATCGATTCAATGCAAAATCTTGTCAAATTTTCTAGAGGATGGAAAAAATGGCGATATAGAATGTGGTTATTTATGGATCATCCATCTTCGTCTTTAGCTGCTAAGGTAACTACTACTGATATGTTTATTATTAATTCACATTTCCCACTATATATATATATATATATATATATAGTATGGTCTCATAAGTCGGTAGTAAACTGTCAAATTCATGTATTCTATTCTTAGTTAAAGTTCCCACACTAATCTAAATTCTTTCAAAGTTATATTCAAGAATTTCGCTAGTAGAAAGTTGTTCAGTTTGTAAATAGCCTTATTCCCAAGGTTTGACCAGCTGAAAAAAACTGCCAGAAATCTTAGTCCATCGAACTGCTGTTTTGTTGTAGTTAATTATTTCTAAAAGTTTGATCCATTTTCTATCATATTTAGTTTGGCATTCAAAACATCAAAGTCTGGTAGCAAACATTATAGTGTTCATTCACTGGTTCATAATAGTAAAATTACCTTTTCTTATTTGTGAAATAACTACAACTTCATCCTACATGAATGATAATAACCATAGATAAACAATTCTCACTACAAATACGAAAGATTAATTTTTATTTCAGCATAACTATTTTATACTAATCATTTATATAAGTAGTAAAGAAACATTAAGCAAGACTAAACTATTTTTGATATAATTCCATTTGAACTAATTTTGTAAGCTAACTAACTACCTTTTAAATTTAAGTAGATGATATTATCTTCTTTCCTTTTTTGAAAATTTAACTATCAGACATAATTTACCGATTCAATACCTATTCATACATTAAAAATGTAATCAATAGAGTCTATATGGATTTTGGCTTCAAATTTATTAAACATTGTTTAATTGTCAAGATAGTTAGATATTACAATTAAGGAATATGATAATAATAATAATAACATTACTCATAATAGTAATAATATATGTCTTTATTGTTATTAAGTAGTATACAGTAAATTGATCAAATAAGTTTTACATTCATATATATGTAAAATGGATAAATTTGGCGAAAAGAAAAACAATAAAGAAACTCACTTTTGTTTATAGAAGAAGAATTCATAATCAATAATTAAAAAGTAAAAAAGAAAAAAAACTTATAAATAGATCAAGTTTCTGATCGGAAAAAACAAAGAATTAATTCACTTTCTTTAATTGTATTCATTGATATATTATCATTAAAGGTTAGAATTTGAATTTTGTTCGAAAGATCTAGACAATTTAATTCTTGTATTATATATAAACATATAAATTCTCTAAATGAAAGTCTATCAGCGACATTCTACTGTGGGAGAGAACAAACCAGATTCCAGCGGAGGAAGAAATCAGGAGGAAGCGTTGGAAGTGGATAGGACACACATTGAGAAAATCACCCAACTGCGTCACATGGCAAGCCCGTTACATGGAGTCCTGAAGTCTAAAGGAAAAGTGGTAGACCAAAAAAACACATTGAGAAATGGAGACAGACATGAGAAGAATGAACAAAAATTGGATAGAAATAGAAAGGAAGACCCAGGACAGAGCGGGTTGGAGAATGCTAGTCGGCGGCCTATGCTCTATTGGGAGTAACAGGCATAAATAAAGTAAAAAATGAAAGCAGCGAATTCACACCTTCGATATAAAAAATAATTAAAAAGTGTGATAGTTTAGTGAGGCTCAATTACTTGAATTATAAACACTACCTTGCATCTTATTTCGTTTGTCCAGTTAAGTTATTTTAGTATAGGCCATCATTCAAAGTTGAATACATTTAGAGAATAACTGTTAAACGAACTGAACAAGCCTCACTTGAATTTGATAAAGACTTTATTTAAAAAAGTAGACCTTAATAAAGAGAATGTATTCGTTTTATTTTAGTTTCTGCACTAGTTATATAACTAATAAAATCTCTAGAGATGAGTTATGGTTTTCTTAGACAATTTTAGCAATTAAATTATAATCTATTTTCGTATTGAATTAAAGAATTAATTTATTCGATTACTCCTATTGTTTTGTCTATGTAGCAAACTTACTAATTATCCTAGAATAACTGATAATCAAATCTACAGAAAACACTTCGACAATTAGAAGAGACAAAATATTAACAACCCTATTTGTAAATTCACTTAGTATTGTTTGTTTGAATCTTCCCATTGATGTTTAGGACTGCAGCTGCTCAATCTCTTATTGACACATGTGCGTACTATGCGTATTGCCTTGATATTGCCTTAATTCACAAGCATTATAAGCAAAGATGGATAGTGGCTAGCAGTGGAATGCAGGACGCGCGTTTCGTCTTATTTGGGACTCATCAGCTGGATGTACCTGCATCTCAGAGTTGCTGTTCACTCTGGGACTCGAAACCAGTACCTTTCGTTTCAAACGCCATCGTTAACGAGTCCAAAATGGGACGAAACGCGCGTCCTGAATTCCACTGCTAGCCACTATCCATCTTTGCTTATAATGTCTGTTTGTAAATATTCAAAGAGTAACCTTTACGTAAATGAATGAATAGCTATTCTTTAATAAGACATAGGTTTTAATGGGCATATCTGAAATAAAGCTCAAATATGACTGACTAATGCTTATCTAATTTTTGATGAGAGTATAATTCCTTGATTACATAAAATAGCTAACTCACCTGATTTTCTGAATTAATATTAAAGTATTTCATGTATATGAAAATATTTGCTTGATATATGCAATTGAAATGAGCATTTTGTTAATAACTAAATACTTGACAGAGTAACTTATTGTCAACATTAAATACATGAATAATCATTTTGTGGTCGAATTCATCGAAATTGAGCTCATATTGAATTAATTCAGTAAGCTGTCTCATTCAGATCATTTAATTCCCGTTTATGATTGAGATTTGTTCACTGACCAAACCATCCAGTTAAGCGAACAAAACTCCATCAAATTCATCCACTTGTGCTACAATTCTTCTCCGCCTTCTCAATTTCCGTTTAACTCATTAACTGAATGATGTGTATACTGAAAAATGTTAGTATATCTTTGTTGAACTTATACTGTAGAGTGGAAATATCTCTGACTAACATCATAAAAATAATTGGACACAGTAGTCTAAACATAATAATTTCCAAAAGAGATTTTAACAAAACAACAGAGCTTTTGGGTGAATTTTTGAAAGTCAGATAAAGAAACCATTAAAATGGGCCGAACATGTTATTCACCGATAGCATTGGTTTAAAATTACACAATATCAGTGTATTTTCACCAATCAAAATGTTGACCTACTGGCTACCGACAAAGTATCAGAATAATATCACTCCTGCTGTAAAAACCACCAAGTTCTGGTGGTTTTAGCTCAATTTGGGATGAGCATTAGTGATACATTATAAGTTTAAATTAATATGATTGTTTTTTACTTAAATATTTTATAATTGAAAGACTATTCTTATAATTAAGTTTGTGTTTACCTTGAACTAAATCTGTTACACATCTCCCATTTGTTTTAATGTACACTCATAAAACAAGAATAATTTAACAAGTATTTTAGGTCAATTACTTGTTACTGATTACTATTTACTAATCACTTAAACTGAAATCAATGGAATTAAGGGCAAAAACATATTTAATTAAAATTTTAGGTTATTCAAATCAATTGAATGATATACCTGTCAACATGTCAAAGATGGAGACAGAAATTTAAAATTGATATAATTGTAAGATATAGTGTAGATTTTATAGTACAGTCAATTGATTCTAAACAATAATGTCATTTAAAGCTTATTTTCAACCCTATCCCCTTCCTATTGTTTGTTTGTTTTTTGTAACTGGGGTATTAATCTATAGCTCTCGATAAGAAGTATACTAATTCTCTCGGTATGATTAAATTAATTCTAAGAATTCTGAAGAAATTCATGTGTTTTTATAACAATTTTTTTCCTGAGAACTGCTTTGACAAACGTTCATAAACATTATAGGTATCACTACCAAGGTTTGATTTGATGATTCCGAATAAATTGAACATTGAGTCGATTGTTCTAAGTAAAATAATATATTTGTAATACTCCAACGAGTAGAAAAATTAGATTTTCTGATGTTTCGTGACTCACTGTAAGCCACTCCTTCAGAGAATAAATAACCAAATTAAAATTAATCCAAGTTTTAATAGTACAACAGAACAATAAGAATACTAAGTGATCAAACAAAAAAACAGGTCTGAATAAATCAATGTTATTTCGGTCAAGGTGATTCATAAGTGACATGTATGTGAATTTATGTGTATGTAAATGTGCACTGTTAAGGATGAAAATTGTGTGACTTTTATGGTGAGAAAGGATATAGTTCAATTTGTAAGATAATAATGTGAATTGTAAGTAATATAATACTGGGTGGCTAGGATAGATAATCCAAGTAGGATGTATGGTAAGGCCTTCATAAATCTTGAAAACGGAAGTGCTTGAATAATCTAACTACTTAGCAGAAATTATGTAACACTTCATGACCCATGAAATGTGATCGGTTGAATTTATAAATACTTAGTTTTAGTGTAACATGAATATATCACGATTGTTGACTATCGACATAAAAGTATTTCTGGCGAGACTATAATTTATGAACGAGCCAATCAGGTATAAGATAACAGGTGTTGGACTTTAGAGCGAAATTCACTCATTTGCTTGGCTAAATAGAGTTTTGCCATTATAGCTGATGTCAGTTCGTAATGAAAACCCTAAATCTAATTCTTAATGTTAACCATCAACTGTAAATCACAATTGTGATTCATCACACTGGTTTATAACCATCATTTGGTCCTAGTTATTAGGTGAACACTCCCAAGGTCAATTTAGTGTCACTCAAAGGTCGTCCATAAATTATAATCTTACCGTATTTCTCTATAAAAACACTTTTGGAGTGATTCTTTTAAATAGACGGTAGTTAAGATGTAAATTTGATATCGAAGCATTAAATCAGATTTTCAAAATTAACTGATTCACAATGTCTAGTACTCAAAGGATTTGACACTTAAAACAAATTATCTTATAATTTGGCCCCTAAATGACTCATTTATTTTGTAATTTTTTACACTTGTCTATTGTTGAAGTTAAAGATTCAGTATCGATGCGATTCA